CGGATTCTGACTTACAGGGTAGAACTGCCCCCATCGGGTTTCCTAGGCGCTCTGGTGGCACTGTGGGTAAAATATTGGGCTGCTAGCCTCAAGGACAGTGGTCCAAGTCCACCCGCTGCGCCTCCTGGAGGAAGCTGAGCTCCTAGGCTCGTGTAGAGCATACCGTCTTGGAAGTCCTCTGGGTGCTGTGAGTTGTTGCCTACTCAGTGGCAGTAGTTTGGGTTTTTAATCTCTATGGGAGTAGTGTTCTTCAACTCCAAAGACCAAAAAATAGGTTAAATGCTAAAGATGGTGTATGAGTAGCAGAAACTGCCCTCAGAGCTGTTTGTCTAAATTGGAAGCAGTTATCTTCGGTGCTAGTTACCGGAAAGCCACTTGAACACCTATTTGCGTCAGGTACGAAGGGCCCCTACTGGTAGATAGTGCCTTTTTTTTTTTTTAAATCAAACACATATGGTATGTTGTATATACCGCTTACTCATGTCTACTCTGACTTGGGGGACTCCTTTGTGACTGAGACATATGCAAGATGGGAGATGAGTGGGAACTCCCTTTTTAATAGGAGGAATCACACGAGGACTTAATTCCTGCCTGGTATGTTAATCACTTTTTGTATCTGTGTTCACCTCAGGAGAGAAACCCTTTATCTGTGAAATCTGTGGCAAAAGCTTCACCAGCCGCCCCAACATGAAGAGGCACCGCAGAACTCACACAGGCGAGAAGCCCTACCCGTGCGATGTGTGTGGCCAGCGGTTTCGCTTCTCCAACATGCTTAAGGCCCACAAGGAGAAGTGCTTCCGGGTGACCAGCCCTGTGAATGTGCCGCCTGCTGTCCAGATCCCCCTTACAACGTCCCCAGCCACCCCAGTCCCTTCTGTGGTGAATACACCCACAACCCCAACCCCTCCAATCAACATGAACCCTGTAAGCACTCTTCCCCCCCGGCCCATTCCCCACCCTTTCTCCCACCTTCACATCCACCCACATCCTCACCACCCACACCACCTCCCTATCCCTCCAGTCCCTCACCTACCCCCACCTCCAGCCCTCTTTAAGAGCGAGCCTTTAAACCATAGAGGCCAGAGTGAGGACAGCTTTCTGCGGCACTTGGCAGAGAAGAACAGTTCAACACAGCACCATTAGCATCCATCTCCCCCGTGTCTCTGGGGGTTGGGGCCCCACCAGTGAGTATGCCAGGAGGGAGTTGGTGAGCCGTCCACTCGCTAGCAGACTTTCCTCAGCCCCCACCAAGAGCGAGCGTTGGCCTTGTCTTGGTGAGTCAGCGGCTTCAAGGGAATGGATGCAAACAGGACCTCGAGCTCACAGAGGGAGCGGTCATCTCAACCAGGGGAACCACCGGACTAAAGCCCAATGTGCTTGCATTTTCTGGTGACTTTTATAGATTTCAAATACTCAGACTTATGGAATTTTATAATTTCATATCAACTGATGAGGTATATGCTTGCTTTTATATCCTGGACTTCTCCTCAAAGAGGGGATAGGCCTGGTTTCCTTTGTACTAATCGGGAAGGCTGTGAGATTAATCCAGAGCATTAATTGTATCACTGTGTATGGTAAGGAATTACTTTCAGCTTTCGGTGCTGGCTGTAGTGTCGAGCTGGCCACGTATCACAGTATATCAAGCATTATAGAGAAAGACAGATTTTCTTCTTTGTGTAGCTCTCCTAATGCACTCTTTATTTTACTACAGAAATTATTTTAGAGTTTTTGTATAGACTTCTTTAGTAGTCTGTTTCTACAATGAAATGTATTTCAATAAGCAGTGTAATTTTTTCAGTGTAGCTGAACCTATGTTGTAAAATAGAAAAAATTTTATAATCATCAAAAGGTGATTCTTAAAGATGCATATAAACTCCTATAGTTCAGAGTTATTCTTACATCCGTACAACTCAAAGGTGCTTCAGAGGCGAGATGTATCTCAGAGGGTCTCCAGACTAGGTTCGTAGGAAAATGAGGTTTGGCTTTCAGACTTAGCAGGAGTTCTTGGTAGATTTGATTCTGTGCTTAACACTGAAATGCCTGCTTGGCCCCTGGCACGCTCCTGCTGTCCACGCTTCATTCAGTTCAGTTCATGTGGTAAATGTCGTTATTTGCAGAGGGCTGGACCTTCTTCCAGAGCAGTCACCCACACGTTTGCAGTTCAGCGCCAGAGGACGAAGTCGTGGAGTTAGTCTCGTGCCACTCACATCTGTGGCTCAGTTCGCTCAGGAGCTGTGTTCACGGTTAACCTAATATGGGAGGATGAGTCTCACTGTGAGGCGACTCTGTTTTTATTTTCTTTCTTTTTTTTTAAGTGTTGTTACAGGAGGATAAAATAATAAACTAAAATCACAAACATGATGTTTGTGGCTGGAGAGAAATTAGGTGAGAAGAACACAAATTGGACACACGTTGTCAGATATCAGTTACATCCCTGGATAGACCCATAACTTTGAGCTACACTAACCCAGTTTAAACCTTAGTGAAGGAAAATTCCTAATCCCGCCGCTCTGCCCTCTGCAAATGATCCTGTTACTCGTGACTGTTAACCAGAGCAGCCAGACAGGCTAACGTGTCAGGTTGAGGGACTGGGGAAGAGAATGATCAGACTGGAGCGGCTGGAGGAAAGGCTGGACTCGAGAGCTGACATACTGGCTCTACTGAGCTGGTCGACTCCACGCACACAGGGCTTCATGCAGCTAGCAGTTTTGCATTTCTTCTTCTCCTCAGGACTGAGTGCTAAGGCGCGGTCTGCTTTCTCTTTCCTTTTCCATTTTTGATCTCCAAACCCCTCCTTTGCTCTTTACTTCCCCTCCCCTCGGCCTCATAAATCCTTGCCTGACTCGGCATCCTGAGTTGTATTTATTTTTGTTGTAACTGGTAGTATTAAATGTGCAGGTATGCCTCAAGCACTTTTCTCACTGATTGGCTCTGTGATAAGAAAGACAATGAAACTCCTGCAATTGAGGTTAAGTCACTATTTTTAAAATTTCACATTCTCTATTAGCATTTGGGTTTGCTATTTCTAAATTTCTTCCTGTTCATTATTGCCTTTGTCTTCTGCATTGAGCGTAGGAACATTTTGAAGTGAGGGAGAAAAGTACCTCAGATGTACTTTTCTTCCTGTTTTTGGATATCAATTTTGAAGAGTGTTATTTTTAATATTTGGTGTACTTGGGTATATTCTGGGACCCAAGCCAGCAAGCCAAGTGACTTCCTTGATTATGACTGTTGGATCGTGAATGGTTGTGCCCCTCCACGCCCCCACCCTCGTCTGCTTTGCATTCCAGGGCACTGTTGTGATTTTACTTTTTCTTCATGGTCACACCTATTATATTAAATTGATTTTTTGGGGGGTGGGGGCGGTGTTAGGTAATTGGTTATACCTTATTTTGTTTTTAATATATTTATAGTATTTAGGCAGCAATTCTGACCTATGGACTTCAGACCAATGAATCAATCAGTTAAATGAGGTGTACTATAATTATACACTGGAAAATTCTGGTCGTCATATTTGGTTTTTGCATTCATGTGAATATAGCCATAACAAAATATCTGCTATATAGGAAAACAAAAAGTATTAAGCAAATAAGCACCATCATCCTTAACAGAAGCAAAAATAACAATAATCGTCAGCATTGTCACACAGTATAGTTCATAATGACGCATGCGGTGGGACAGTCGGTAAACGTCTAGGTTTTCCCCTGACTTAGGATTGGTGGTCTTCATGAAAACTGCTCTGAAATGCATGACTCCTTATCAGTGTCGTATTTGATATGAACAATGGAATGCATGTGGAATACTCATGACATTAATGCTTCTGATTGGAAGAACTAACTGTAGGATTAAGCCTTAAACATAGATACTGTCTGGTTGAACATACTCAAAACTCAAACTCAGGGTTGGAAATTCGGTTGGGGTCCTGGTGAGCGCTGTCCTTTCCCATGTGTGCTGCAGCACCCTGTGAATGCTCCACACTTCATACTGACTTGCAGAGCCGCGGTCGGTGAGGGACTCTGAAGGAGTTTGAGTTCCTGCGTCTGCCTGCACTTGGGGGGGGACACAGGGACTGCCCGCAGGTCCACAGGGTGCTCATGGGAAGGGAGGCTGTCTCTCATCACTTAACTCGACAGTCTTTAGAGGCTTAGCTCCTTGCTCAGAGTAAGACCTATTTGAGGAAAAGCCACAAGGACTTACTTATTGAGTTGAAATTGCATTTTGTTTAGTTCCTTATTCATTTTCTCAAAGATTTGTCTCACAAACAAACTCTCAGAGCCTTAACAAAGGGCTCTATCTGATTGGACAAGTAGGCTTATACTGAATTAGACTTTACAATTAGAATGAGGCAGTGACGAGGGACAGTTGAAGGGCATGCCGCTTTATTTCCGCCAATGTTTGGTTCTATTACATAAAACTTAACCGTTGTTCAAAGGGGCTTCTGCAAGTCAGTTACTTACACATCTATCGGCCACCATTTCCGTGAGTTGTTGTAAGTGAGTGGCTGAGCATGGGCATTACCAGAGCTGTCCAGGCCTTTGAAAGCTACGCTGGCTGAAGTACCTGTGTTGTGGTGGAGCACTCCCTGTAATCGGATTGTCCCAAAATGCTCTGAAGAGAGAGATGCTTAGGAACTTAAGAGTTTCCGACTTTTTGAAATTTCTTTTCGGTTTCTATGTTTGTTAAAAAGGGTATGTGTGCTTATTTTGTTGATTTCACTGGATTTTGACTTTTGAGAAGACGAAGCAGAACTAGGTATCCATTGCAGATGTATATATATTTACCCATCTTGCAGATTTCGGTTAGTGACCCACCCACAGAATGGTAGATGGGTTTTAATGTTTATTTTTAAAAGCTAAGTTTAGAGAAGCCTTTCTGTCTAAGCTACTGTATAGAGAAAACAAAACAGCTCTGCTAGCACTGCTGAGCCACACTGTAATCATGGCGATACTGTTTGAGACTGCATGGGAAGCATTTCATGAAAAGGGGGATAGGATACATTTAACCTTTTTATCAGCTAGCTACCACACACACACACACACACACACAAATCAATTCACTCTAGTTCTTTAGACTCTAAAATGGAGCAAGTCAATACGAGGTTTTCATTTTCCTTTGCTTAAGCCAAGATAGGAAATTTCTCAAAGGACTTTTGTCGTTGTCGCGCCCCCCCCCCCTCCCAGGAACAAAAGGTCAGAAGCCATTAAGAGATAGTGGCATTCTTATGCAATAGCAGCACCCTAAGTAACCAGCGTGGGTTATCTTGTAGCATTTATGATAAATGATGATGACCTTTCAACCCTGCGCACTACCTCGATAAAGCAAACCACAGATCCTCTTGACACTTTCTATGGAAGCCATAAAAATTGCCATCAATATCTCCGCTTTACAGTTCTCGACTTTTATACCACTCCACTTTTTATAGCCTGTATGCCAGATCTTTGTCTTAGAGGATAGGTTTTGCAAGATTCAAAGGAAAATCAAGCTCCTCGGTTGTCCCATCTTTGAAGTGGAAACCATTTTGCTGAGTCTGGTATTGGGAAAACAAGCTTCACCTTCTTGTTTCCTAAGTAGAGGCTACACGGATGTAAGCTACACTACTTACAAAGTGAGTTTCTACCGTGTTCCTCTGTGTCTCACTCAAGCATATATGTATTGTCACAGCGTTCCTGGAGTTTCTTTTCTGTTTTGATACGTCAGGGAGTGCACACTCTCTCGAATCCATTGTTTCTTATTGCAGCTTCAGCCCTCACTATTCGGGAGTGCCTTCAAAGCCAGCGCCCTGCAACATTCATGTCCTGGTCTCACCCTACCTCTGCTCCGATGGTTTCCTTCTCCACCAGTGTGGGCACTTGCACTTGGCCCGTCGGGTGTCTTGAGCTCTACAGATGAGCTGTGAAACCCGGATGATCCTCTTGAACGTGTTTGTTTTCTTCCCCCATATCACTTAGATTGCATTTTTAACCTTATGTGCATCTTGTTTTTCCACATAGGACCACTCTGATGATGAAAGGTTTTATCCGTATCTTACATTTCACTTTTCCAGGGACTAGGTGTTCCTTTCAAAGGAAAGGTCACACGAGATCTTTTCTGGACCTCTTTCTGTGTTTGAAGTCTTCCTAAATGCCTCCCCGCTCAGGTTCCGGGACCCTGACTGCCGCTGCTACTATGCCTTGCCCCTGCCCGGCACACTGGCTCTCAGAGGAGTTGGTCAGGCTGTGCCCACACTTTTATTTGAGTTGGATTCATTCAGAATCTTTTCTCTCTCTATCAAAAGCCCTCCCCTGACTTTTGATCTGCCCCCTTGTCCTCGTTGCCTCCAAAACCTGGCTTTCTCCTAGTTCTCGCTCACTTCCAAGGTGTGACTGATAGGATGTATGCAGCAGGCCCTCACAGGGGCCTTGCACTGAGTGTGTGCTCCGGGCCGTGTGGCTGCTCCCTGACAGGTACCCCTCTGAGCTGGGCCAACCAGTCTCTCTCCCCTTCTATTCTCCTCCCAAGCTGAAAGCAAAGGGAATTCTTTAAAATGAGGAAATTCCATGATCTTGTTAGGCTTTTGTTTTGTTTTAAGTATATGAAAGCTATTGAGTCAAAACCCTTTTCTTTCTCACTTAAAATCTCATGCCTCTTTTCATAAAGCTAATCATACTCAGGTTTTCAGGACTGACTAGCCACATGGGGGTGTGAGTCCCAGGAGGCAGCTGCTCAGGAGCCTGCAGACCTCTCAGTCTTGTGACAGTTTGTTTGGGGTCAGACAAGGCAACATTGTGAGACTTGCTTCTGTTTAGTAATGAATAAGTCCAACACATTGGGAGGTTTTACTGGCTATCTGAAGAGACTAGTTTACAAAATACAACAGATAGGTCTCTGCGTTACAGAAATACGTAGCGCAGGACTTCTTGTTGTTTTTGTTTGTCTGCTTGTTTGTTTTGTTTTTAAAGGCTTTTTACTCTAATCCCCCATGGTCTTCCTCCATCAGTGACCTAGAAGTTGATCACTCTTCGGTGGGAACTGACCACCTATAGTGCCCACTGTAGAAGGTGTGGCTTTGTCCTTCAGGGCCTCAGGCAGTAAAACAGTGGAGGGTCATACTTGGTTCCTACCCAGAGTCACAGCCTTGAGACAGGCTTCAACAGGAAATCTTTGCTACAAGGATCGGAGGGCCCTTGCCTTCGAAAAACCCCCTACAGCCTTCTGTTTTCAGATTACCTCCACACAAGCAACGTTAGCATGGCTGGTGAGCGCGAGGTGGCACAGATGATTTCAAGGGGACTTTGAAGGCTATGGGAAATGGTGCTGGGACAAGAAGGACCAGTGGAGGCTGAAGCTCACCTAGCCACAGGAGGAAGCGGGATACTTGTTGCTTGTCTTGAGCGAAGAGCCTGTCTCTGTACTGCATGGCCAAGGACTGCGGTGACTTCCGAGTACTAGTCTCTCTGGCCAGCACCGCTTCCCACCGATCTGTTTTGACAGGTGCATAGGGACGGTGGGATCAGAAGACAACCTCCAGATCACTTCCTGCACAGGACTCAAGACGGTGCTTACCGTAATTGCATCTAAGCACCGGTGGGAAGTTTTTAGGGATGTTTTTTCTACACTTACAATTCTGCTCATTGTTAGAGTAAGAAAGACACTTAACGGCTAGACTTGTATCCCCAGGATCTGAAAATCTGATTCTTCTCCATCTCCCCTGATGACTTTGAATGTGTATTTCATTGGTTCCTTGTCTTGGACTGTTACAAATGAAGATGGGGGAGACTGGCCTCTCCTTGTTTCCTTCTTCAGTGTGGCATCCACAGCCTCACGTGTCACTCGGCACGACAGTCCATGTAGCCATGCTGGCTGGGTAGAGTGCTGCGGAGACCAACTCTGGACAGGCTGCAGGTGCTATTTTCTCATGTCGGACTGCCTTG